AGTAATTTTACGAGTTTTCACTCGGTTGCTGGTTGCCTTCAAGGGCAGAGATTTAGTCCTCTTGATAATTGCAAAACGTATCGTAGTTTTAGCAGCTCGGCGTACTACATACGGACTTTGTTAAATAACGGCCAATCTTAATGCTAGGCACTTGTATACTAATCCAAAGTTAGTTTTAGTTAGAGTTTTAGTTAGTAGTATTATATTCTGACGTTCAGACCACAAGTAGTTGGTCTCTGTATTCCGAAGTTCCGAAAATACCTGTAAAGATAGAAAAATAAAGGGTTTCGTATACCCTTCCTGTGTGTATTGTCTACTTCACAATTATTGAACATAGCTTGAGTAAGCTCCCTGTTCCAAGTCAGGACAGTTCATGTTTCCAAAGCAAGTCAAGAGGAACACAAGTCCTGATAGTGGCGCCCGACGAAGAAGAGTAACTATGGCCGAGTTTCAAGAAGAACCTGTGGTGCCTGCAGAAGAGGCTCAGAATCCAGAAATGCCAGCTGCCGCCCTGGAAGGATTTGGGTACATCGTCCAGACCATGCGCGCATCGATGAAACCAGAAGCAACATTTAATGGAAACTCACCGGTAACAAGTTTTTTGGAAAAATTTGATGACCACTTCATGCTGTATCCCGGGCATGAGTTCCAGAAAGTCACCTTAGCTACCAGCGCTTTGAGGGGCCAAGCGCTTAATTGGTTCAAATGTATAGGCAAATTATTGTGAATATGTGTAAAGGTTGAATGAATGTAGTTAGGCTCTCTGACGCTACACTTCAGAGTTAGCCACTTTTCAGAATAGTACCTCAGGGTTCAGAGATGAATATAAGGTGTGTTCTGAGGTCTTGTTATATTGAATTTTAACACGTTAGTGTTTTGATTGCAGGCGGTAGTGTTGAACACTTGTACATAGACACGCACATGTTTGGTGTTTTTCTTTACAACACATGTCAGAGAGCACGGGAAGATAATTAAATAACGTTATGAATGAAATAAGAATTTTAAAAGAGAAATATTAAATATAATATAAATAATTCATGTTACTTGCCATTTGATTGTGTAAGACTTCATTAAACTAGTTTTCCTTCCAGATCTCTGGAAGGAACCAGATTCAACTAAGAAACTCCTGTTTATAGATGCAGTACAGATGAAAATTATTTGTCCATAGAGTTGATAATGTAAAAACGACTTTTTAATTTCTAGATTAGATAATTTATAGTGAGAAATGTTTGTAAAAGATTGGCCTCGCGTTAGATTCTAGAGCTAAAAGTTTTCAACAAGGTCGTTTTAGACCTCAGTTTCAAACTAATTAACTCTGGCGGGAAGTATGTAAGGATCCTAAGTTTTACTAACGTTTATTTCATTTTAAATCTTTACTATCACTTCTTATTTTCTACTTCCGTCCAGAATTAAAAGCTTTAACTTATTTATGCAAATTTCTCTTGCTAACGCCAAGTACTTAAGTTGTGATTTTTTGCCAAGCGAGATAGAGGAAGGAGTTATTGAAAGCAAGCCGCTTGCCATAGTAGTTTTACGAGTTTTCACTCGGTTGCTGGTTGCCTTCAATGGCAGAGGTTTAGTCCTCTTGATAATTGCAAAACGTATCGTAGTTTTAGCAGCTCGGCGTACTACATACGGACTTTGTTAAATAACGGCCAATCTTAATGCTAGGCACTTGTATACTAATCCAAAGTTAGTTTTAGTTAGAGTTTTAGTTAGTAGATTTATATTCTTACGTTCAGACCACAAGTGCTTGGTGTCTGTATTCCGAAGTTCCGGAAATATCTGTAAAGATAGAAAAATAAAGGGTTTCGTATACCCTTCCTGTGTGTATTGTCTACTTCACAATTATTGAACATAGCTTGAGTAAGCTCCCTGTTCCAAGTCAGGACAGTTCATGTTTCCAAAGCAAGTCAAGAGGAACACAAGTCCTGATATCATAACTTAAAAATCATCCTCAAAAAGCTGTAAGAGTTCAGTGTTCGTCAATTTGAAACGCATATCTTAAGTTAGAAGAAATGTATTAAAAAGCTTTGAGACTTGTAAAAATAATGATCATACTCTTTGAAATTTCTTAATTATTCCTAGCAGAGAAATTTTTACGTATTCTAAGTAGGGAAAAAGATGACATAAATTTCACTTTCCGTAGACTGAACATTAATTCCATGTCCAGACATCCTTTCTTTTTAGATGTTTTACACAAATATGGCCTCTATAGTGAATTTAAAATATTACATTTACAATGTGGATATTCTTCTCTGTAGTTAAAAATTCTGTAGCTTGTTAAAAAAATAAGGCTGTGATAAGTTCAAATATAGCAGTTGTTTACGAAGGTCTGCGGTAAATGGAGGGATCACATTAAGAATCCGGGTGAAGTTTTCACGTGATAGAAATCAAAATTTAACGTATGTTCGGTGATTTAAATACAATGTGTACAAGAAAATCCAAGATATTTTTGTAAAATATTTCAGAGTCAATCTGTGTTAGTAATATATCTGAAACCTCCTGCTCAATAAAAAGGAGTGTTCTGAATATATTCATGTAAATGTCTGTAGTGTGAAATAATAAGAAATGAAATGCTGTTGGTACGTATTAAACTTGGGTACACAATAATAAGAAATTTCATATTGTTTCGTATGTATTTGAACTAAACTGGCTAGAGATGTCCTTAGTTCAAGTAGATTTTATGTTGTGAAAATTTATTATTTCTGAATTAGAAGGTTTAATTCAAAGTCAGTAGATCTTTAAAAATCCGTATAAGTCTGTATTTATTTTTAGGGAGAAAAAAAAAAAAAAAAAAAAAAAAAAAAAACAATCAGAAATATTAACAGGGATATGTTTTAGAAACATGATAAAGGTTAAATGTAAGGCAAAATGTCTAAATGGGAAAATAGAAAGTTAAAAATTTACATTTTTTTGACACATTTCGTGAATCCTTTGAACAAACGTGAAGATGTGTAAAAGAGAATTCCGCGACGTTTAGTATAGTTTTTCAAAAAGTTATAATACATTAGAAGAGAAAGTTCGGAATATCACCTGTTAAGTGTTAGTAGAATAGTGTAATACATTAGAAGAGAAAGTTTTGCGTATCTTAAGTATGAGTAGCGTTAAAAAAATAAGAAATATAATATGCTAAGTAAGCTATATGGGAAGGAACATCGTACTTATTGGTTTAAATTTGCAGAAAATATCCATGAAAGCCTCTAGAGGGAAATTATATGCGTGTAAGTTCCAGCTTAAATTTCATAGACTGAGAAATATATATGTAACTTTACGCTTCGAGAAATGGAAGTGTAACATCAATAAGTATTTAAAACATTAAGAAAAACCTTAAGAGGAAAATAAAAGAAAGAAAAAAGAAATGAGAGAAGAAAATTCCTCAAAGAATTAAAAAAATACTTTCATATAAAAGAAAAATTAAAAATTACTTCTTGAAGTAAAATATAGGAAAAAGACCGAGTTTGTAAAAAAGAAAGAAAAAATCGTATGAAAATAAGTACAGCTTTTGTAAAACAAATAAAGTGAGGAATGTAAAATACGGAAAGGAAAGATTAAACTGAAGAGAAAAAAAAACCTTCTGTAAAATAAAAAAAGAAAAATAAATAAATAAAATTGTGAAAACATATTACTTTTATAAAATCTATTACTTTTGCAAGTTAAACGCAGGGGGAAAAGAATGTAAAACTTAAAAATGGGGGGGAAGAAAATCTTATGTTTGTATATAAAAAATATGGTGTGAAAATTAATACATTTAATTTAACGGCGAGAAGAAAAGAAAAATACGTAAATTATGTTTGTAAGATAAAGAAATGAGAAATTTAAAATATCTTAACCTAAAATAGAAAAAAAATAAATTTAAAGTTATGAATTCATTCATTATCGAGGATGTACAAAGGTCTGAGCAAGTTGGATCAGAATTCTGTATGTGCAATCCATAGCCTTATGCTGGTTTCCGCTGCACAAAGTTAAATGAACAAAGAGGATAGATACGATCAAATAATAATCAAATAATAGGATTCAGGAGATAAAAGCACGGCTTTGTGTTATCGTCCACGTTTCGCATGCCATAGATGGCCAAATACATGAAATTTACATATAAATACATGAAATTTACATGTAAATACATGAACGTTTTTCATTAAATACTACTATATTAAGTCAAATAGTATAATCAGTTAAAAATAATGTTTAATAACTTCGTCAGGATCCACGAGTACCAAATGCACTATGGGTAAGACTACTGCTCTCTAGCGGTCATTGCTGAACTAAACAGAATGTTCTAGAAATTCTAACATGTATCTGTATGCTGCAATCAGGTTGCGATTAAGTATGACATCAGAGCAGCGGGGAGTTCTACGTCAATGGATAAGCGCGGTCAATGGATAAGCGTCAATGGATAATCCCGTTTGTACAACACAAACGGGATGAAACATGTGGCTGACGTAGCAATAGCAAGATAATTCGAGGTGATAATGCGTGATGACGTCACGAACAGGATGCGAAGCGTCCGTAGTTGGTGACGTTTCAACCCACACGGGCTCCTCCGTAAATTTCCTCCCCCCCTTGTCCGTCGTCTGTGAGAGCCACAGCACCACATGGCCTTAAATCACCTTTTTATATCTACTCCTGCTTATTGTTAAACTAAAACGTTTCGAATTCTAAATTTTTTCCCTTTAAATTGTTGTTCAGTTTCATAAGAAGAAGTACCGGAGCTCATATTATTTAGGGCTCCGGTGCGCTCCGGCTAAAATTGTAATTTATCTCAAAAACTGAGAAGTACCGGAGCCGGGCTCCGGCGTAATTTAAGTACTGCATATGCTTATTCACACAGGAGAAAAACCTCATATGTGTGAAGTATGTAACCAGTCATTTAGACTGAAAAGTCATTTAAACATGCATATCCTTATTCACACAGGAGAGAAACCTTATGTTTGTGAGATATGTAATCAAACATTTATGTTAAAGAATAGTCTAAACAGGCATATGTTTCTTCACACTAGATGGAAAACTTATGTGTGTGAGGTAGTATGTGACAAGTCATTTAGGGAAAAGGGTAGTTTAAACATTCATATGCTTATTCACACAGGAGAAAAACCTCATGTGTGTGATTTATGTGGTATATCATTTAGACAGAAGGGTGCATTAAACCAGCATATGCTTATTCACTTAGGAGATAAACCCTATTGCTGTAAGGCATGTAACAAGTCATTAGATTAAAGGGTAATTTAAATGAGCATATGCTTATTCATACAGGAGAAAAACCGCATGTATGTGAGGTATGTAGCAAGTTGTTTAGACAAAAAGGTGCTTTAAACAAGCATATACTTATTCACACTGAAGAGGCATGAATCAAGTCATGTAGACAAAAGTGGAATTTGAACATGTACTTTTTTATTCACTCAGCGGAGCAACACCATGTAGGAAGTATGTAAAGCTATTTAGATGGAAAAATTAAGTAGTCTTTATCACAAAGGAGAGAAACCTCACAAATGTGAGGTATGTAAAACGTCATTAAGACTTAAAGGATGCACTTTGATTGGCTCATCACCTGCATACGGGTGATGGCAAAAATCTGATCAAGCTGCGTCATCCGTATTAAAGTGACAGTTCTTTGAGAACTTATGAGGTCAAGTAGTTATTTGAAAAAATAATTGTTGATATTGAAAGAAGGAAATGAAAATGACTGCTGCCGATAGCTAAATTCATTCTGTTCACTAAATTGAATCATGCTTTCTTCGGTATCAACTTTTCTTTCTTTTTAAACAACCAATTCTTGTAAAGAGTTATCAGTAGCATCTACACTGCATTTATTATCAGTATCTGAAGAATTATAATTCTGAAAAATCTTGACTGTTCTTCATTGCTACTATTTGAAAATTTGTAAGCCTCGCAATAGGTTTCTTCTTCTCTGATATATGATTCACTTAAAATTAATTCTTTCATTTTTCTTTTGGACATAGCAAAAAAAATGTGGGCAACAATTTTAACGAACACACACAAGGAAAAAAAAATTTTTTTTTTCACTGCAGAAACAATATTTTGAAAAGAAAAAGTAATGTTTGAACCTCGTATGTTTTCAGGTACTTCATTCTTGAGGAAAGATTTTCAACTGAATCCATGTCCCGAAATGTTTCATTTTAGATGCTCTAAATTCTTACTATCAGTAACAAATGGCACATGGTACAGCAGTGCTTGTGGCATGAATGAGATCTTCTTACAAACTCACATAGCACTCAATGTATTAAACCACCATATGTTTCTTCACATAGGACAGAAATCTAGTTTGCGAAGTATGTCAAATGTAATATGTACTGAGATGTCCCTTAAGTTCATATGATCATCCATTTTCATGAATGACTGCATGTGTATGATATATATAACAAATTCTATAAATATATATATGCTTACCCATACTGGTGAGTAAGTACAGCAGTGCAGTAGCACATGCATAAGCAGTCATATAAAAAAAAAAGACGTGTTAGAGTTGCACCTACTTATTCACATTAATAAGAAACCACATATTTGTAATATATGTAGCAAATTACTGAAACAGAAATGTAATTTAGTAAAACTGTAAGGATCTTAAGTTTTACTAACGTTTATTTTATTTTAAATCTTTACTATCACTTCTTATTTTCTACTTCCGGCCAGAATTATAGCGTTAAGGTTTTTATGCAAAGTTTGTCTGGCGAACGCCAAGTATTTAAGTTGTGGCCTTTTGCCAAGCGAGAGAGAGGAAGCAGTGAGTCAAAGCAGGCCGCTTACCTTAGAAGTTACGCAGTTGCTGTTTGCCTTCCAGGCCAGAGGTTTTAATCCTCTTGATAAATTAAACGTATTGTAGTGTTCACAGTCTCTGTGCTACATACACTTCCTGTTATTATAAGGCCAATCTTCCACGTGTATTATTCTAAAGTTAAATTAGAGTTTAGTTTTATTTTTATACTTTTACGTTAGACCCCAAGTGGCGGGTCAGTGTATTCCGAAGTACGGAAGTTATTGTATATAGAGAAAAATATAGGGTTTTGTATACCCTTCGTCTGTATCCTGTCTACTTACCACAATTAGTGAACATAGCTTTAGTAAGCTCTCTGTTCCGAGTCAGGTCCTTGTATGTTCCCGAAGAAGGTTAGAAGGAACATTGACCCTGATAAAACATCTTATACACAGTTGTGCGAAAACACGTGTATGCGATACGCATTTGCAAGGAAAAATTACTTAAAGGATCATATGCATACTAACATGCGTAGGCGAAAACTGGATGAATATATTATATGTAATAACTCATCGCTTAAAGATGTGTTTATACCCGTATTAAAGAATCATGTATGTGATTTGCCCTTATTAGCTATCTAAAGGAACACATGCTTATTCACAGTGGGTAGAATCCACATGTATGTGATATGTGTTGCTATCAAGTCATTTGCAAATAGACGTCTTCTCAATCGACTTATCCATATGTATGTGCAATGTATGTAATAAATCATTTGCTCATAATTGTTGTATAAATAGGCATCTCTACACTGGAGAGAATCTATTTCTTAATGATAAATGTAGTTCTCACGAGTTTCGCTTCGATAATTCTTTGTATCTATCAGAAACTGGTTTCGCATGAATGTACACGAGTGTTGGATTAGAAGAGATTCATTGTTACTTTAATTCATTTGTGAATCATTTAATATGCTGTGGTAGTTGCAACACCATGAAGGAAATGTCATATTAGAAAGAAGTTTATATCACACATGTATGTAATGATAATACAATAAATTGTTCAAATTTCAAACCAGTACTTCCACATCAAAGGTCCAAAGTGAGTATTTTGTGAAACTAACATCGTTGGAAATATAAGTTTTTATGCTTTAAGATATCAAATAGAAGAAACTGTGGATATGTTCCATCAAGTCTATAGTACAATGATGCCGACTGTTGAATGATAGGCCATTGCTAAGTCATCGTATTCTATGCATGTTCGATTCATGCTATGTCTGCAACTATCACTGATTTGTTTTGCATGCTTTAACAATTTAAAATACAGATTTTAGTTATTAAATCAGGATTGCAAAATATATTAAAAAAATAAAAAATGCTTACATTCTTCTCCAAATCCTTTTGGAGTCTTGAAAATGGGTTAAATAAGGAAGCAGCAGTATCAATTGTGTTTGAAGACATCTTGGACATTTCAGGGAAAAAAGTTTGGATTTCTCTTGGAATGTAGCACTGGAAATGTGCTAAAGAAACATTATGATCTCTTCCTCTGTAACATCCCTGGCATAGTAGTTTTATTTAAGAATACCTGCAGTGTTATAGAAACTGGCATAATACGATACCCGATATTGTTGTTTATCCAGTATAACACTCCAGTATAACACTTAAAATGCTAGCTGGAGAATGTCATGCATTACTATATAATGCATATGCAGCCATAATTGCTCTTCTGGGTTAAAGCAGAACTCATCAGAAAACAAGACCTCTTTTCATTTTGCCTGCCATTGTTTGTGTTATGTATCAGATACGATCAAATTGTGAAATCAGACAATTCTATGCCTACTACATTGTTGTAATGTTGTGCTAGCATTCAAGAAGGAACTGCATGATTCATCACAGCCATGCAGTTAAGATATTCATTATCAAGTGGTATCGTAACATTTTATGATTCCACTACTGTAATTTCTTCAACTTGCTCGTTTTTTTACATGTTCATTGTTTCTACATGCCTATCACTGTCATGTCATTATGTCTCCTGCTAGCAGTAATGTCATAATCAGAATAATAAATATTTACCTTTTAAAGTTGATGAGGGACGCAGGACAGTTTACAGCTCATTGATGATGATACATTGCTTGTCACAATCCTCAACACTCTTTATTTATACATCTACACTAATTGTTCAGTGTGCATTGCAAGATTACCCATTCACATTCACTATATTTCTAATCACTATATATCATACTACATATAAATAATTAGATGATGTCAGATTACCTGCTTTCACATGCCTTATAAATTTTGGTCTATAGTAGAGTCCTTGAAACTGGACCTGTTGTGGACTGAAAGGGTGAGCAATTTTTGAAAATGTTCAAGTTTTGAAAATGTTCAAGTAAGGGATGAGTGATTTGCAGCTCATAATATTTTATTGCAGATTTCTCTAATGAAAGTTCTAACACAATACAAAACACAGTACAGTCCCTCACAAAAATATTCAAACACCAGTACCCATTCAGTAAACGTGAAAATTGATTAATGGGAGACGATGTTGTTCCATGGCTGTTTTATGAAAGATTTAAAATATGTTTGAGAGAGAACAGAGGATCTTTAAAATATATATATCAAAGTCATGTTTGCGTACTTCAAAGAATAGTATGTGAAATGTAGATATTCTGTTTTCAGAAAAGTAGGCAGTTAGAGAGAGGATAACTTGATTATTAACCCCCCGAGCGTTACGGATTTTTCAGGAAACGGCATGAAAAATAATCGTGTGTACTCATCTGGTCTGTAGCAAAAACGGCAAGTTATTTTGACTCAAACTACTTCAAAAGCGGGTCCCCCTTACCATGTGGATATAATTAAGCTAATTCTCTTCTCCGTTGAATTTAGCGAGTGAAATTAGTTTTTCTCTCTATGGTATCTTCGTCACAGGATTGGTTGCTAAAATGTTATTTTATCTCCTACTTGGCTACGTTATAATTTGCATACTAGCACATATGCTGTATATTGCTTGTACCTTAATCAAGGCGGCCGAGCGGTAAAGACGCTGAACACTGGTAGTTCGGTCCGAGGTTCGAATCCCGCGAACGGGCTGGCTGCGTGGGTGTTTTCGTGGTTTTCCCCATGTGTAACGTGTATACGAGCCAGTTTCCCTTAGAAAGTCCTCCACGAAAGGCATCCCTCCCCTTAGGCAGATAGCCCTAGTGTGCTTTGCCATAATTAAAAACACCAACACCTTAATCAAGATATGTGCCGAATAAGAAAGTTAGTAAGTATGCATCAGTAATAGAAACTACGTAAAATGCTTTAAATTTCAAGTTCCTTTAAGGAATTGCTTCGATGATGGTGAAACATTTATCTTGCATTCTTTACAGTTATTTTCTTAGAAAACACTTTTTAATATACAAAGGGAATTTGTGAGAATTTTTGCTCTCGTGTTCTAATTTTTCGAATAAAAATTATTCGCAAATTGTTTTAATATTATGT